TTCAGTCGTTGAGCTACTTTGCCATGCCACGGTGGTTCAACCGCCTGGTTAACGTGGAGCACTCTTTCAACGTCGAGGCAATTGAATTCTACAGCAACGCCACAAAGGCGATCATTGCCGGTTACCATAAGCAGGGCACAAGCGCCCCCGCAAATATGGTGCAAATGCTGGTGAAAGCGGCGCAAGAAAATCGGTACCAAAGCGAAGCCTCCTATGAAGGGCTGACTGCCTCAATGGATAAAGGTAACTGTGCTTTTGATAACTACAAATACCTTTTACCAATACAAAGCTTGTCATTTCAGAATTTAAAGAATCATCAAAAAATGAGGCTTTTGCAGAAAAGACTCCGGTCACATCTCTGAGTGAGGTAGAAATCACCGGCGCCGCCACCGGAATTTTCCTCGCCGGTTTCGACACGCTGAGCGCCATCACCAGCAGTGCTCTCCTCGAGCTGGCACTGCACCAGCCCATTCAAGAGCGCCTGTTTGAGGAGTTGTCCGCCAACCTCGACTCACTAGACCCCAACTCAGAGGAGTACCTGGAGACGGCGATGAGACTGCCCTACCTCGACTGCGTCCTCAAGGAGACGATGCGAAAGTACCCCGTTCTGGCCAGACTGGAGCGACGTGTCAATGTGGAGAAGTACAGCTTAGGCGAGCAGCAGCAGATTCCCCTGGTCAAGGATCAGCTAGTTGAGGTGCCCGTCGTGGCGGTTCACTACAACCCTGACCTCTTTCCGGAGCCGTTCACCTTCAACCCGGATCGTTTTTCGGCGGAAAATAAGCACCGAATTGTGCCGTACAGTTTCATCCCGTTCGGTGATGGTCCACGAAATTGTGAGCAGCCGGTTACGCCCACGGGACACGCCCCACGAGGGCGTGTCCCTTTAATGATGGTTAAAGTTTTTTGTTTTTAACTGTTGCTATTTATTCTTAGGTCTCGGAATGCGATTCGCTTACCAAGAGATGAAGCTCTGTCTGTCGAGAATTCTGAGAGGCTTCAAGTTTCTGCCCACTGATGACACGCCTCGCAAGCTCACCTTTCTGCCCTTCAAGTTTGTCCTCAATCCGCCGCCTTACCCGCTAAAAGTGGAGAAACGGTGTTAACTTTTTAAAACTTGTTGTCTACTTGGATGTTATCAAAACTTATTTTCTGCTCTGTGTTCAAACGTATAAAAAATTGTGATTTATCTTTTTAATGTGATTAATTTCAAATGAGTTTTTTAGTTTCAAAATGATTTTGGTTTTTGAAAAGGACCATAAAGAAGAGCGCAGTGTAGAGGAGAACCACAAAGAAAGACTTTCTGGTGATGCGATAGTTGTCTAGCAAACTCATCGAGTACGGTTTCAGACGGCGATGCAACTGAAAAGCCTCTGCTTTTAACAAAACCCGAGTTGGTAAGTTTTTAGTGAAACCGTTCAATGGAAAAAGGAGTAAACCAAACCGTGCATTTGCCCGCACCAATCGGCCATTGCCAGTGTCTACACGAGCACAACGGTCAATGAGGCCAAATTGAAAGGCGCCCAAGGTGAAGAAGGCGTAGAGGAAGTAGCTCCAAGCGGTGAACGGAAGTTTAGGGATGAAGAGAAGAATGTACACTAGGTAGCACTGAATGAGGAGAAAACCGAAGAAATAGGCACTGAGCAATACGCTAAAACAACCGGCACAGCAACAAATATCGTTTGCCAAGTGAGCGAGGTTAAAGTTGAGCACCAGAAAACGTTTCCAAACCAATCTGTAGCAGGTTTTCTGCCTCATTCTTAACCTTTCTTTGTGAAATAATGTGCCGCAAAATGAGCATTTGAGCAACAGCTGTTGAAACTTTCCCAGCAGTTCTTTCTGACGCAGGGCAATCAGTTGCGTGGACAAAAGCACGTAGCTGGGAATGGCAAGGTACGCATAAAAGATGTACAGCAGATAAAGAGGAAAAACTGCAGTCCAAAAAACAAAATTGCTAATTGTGATTGGCCAATGAATTTGGGAGTTCACGTAAAAGGCGCTGAT